CCAGGTACATCAGATAACATGACATGAATGCTTTCCCCACTATTAGTGTGTTTCAGAAAGGGAAAATATTGAAGTCTTGAATTCAAATGTGAGCCAAGGTGAGTGAACAGTGTTCAGTGTTGATGCAAACTCTGGGCTCTCTCTCTCAGCCTGGATCACTTGTGGGAAGCCCCTAAAGCAAATCCTGAGTTATGAATTGTGCACATCCTCTGTAATTAGGGCAACTATTGCCAACTTCAGCACCACTGACACCACTCTCAGCTTTGCAGAACAGCTGATTGCACAATTGAACATGGCAGGCACACCAGGCAAGCTTTCACTACTAGCTGTGAGACCCAGTTTGGGGAATACAGGAGGAAATATCCTTGTAGAAACATGGAAAATGGAGTTCCAGGAGTCCCAGTTAACCTGTGCTTTTGGGAGAGCAGCAGTTTGTTCACACAGAGTTCTGCAGGCAGGGAATGGTGGTCAGGGCCAAATTTATTCCCCACAAGCTCCCAGAGGTAATTTATAAGAGAATTTGATGAACATCTGTTATCTTTTTGTTGTTTGCCCCAGTGGGGACATGCAGACAGAGCCATTTGATCTGCTTATCAACAGATGAAGCTTAGAAAAGAGGGACATTCGTGAGGTGTCTGGGTGTCACAATGCCAAGTTTCTTTCATTCTCTCCTGGTGCTTTGCCATCCTATGTGTACTGCTCTGTCCTCTCAGTTATTGTCACTTGGTATTTGGGACAAGATTTGTCTGTGAGACAAAAAGTAAAAGGCAAAAAACCTTAATTTCCCTCTTCTCCTGCCAACCAACCAACCAACCAACCAACCCCTCTTCAGCTGATGCTTAAAACCAGGCAGAAATTTAAACTTTCCTGTGTGGTTCATGCAGCTGAGGGCCAGGCAGTGGTGGAAACAATAAGGTGAGGTGCCACACAATATCCTGCTGCTGCTTATGGGGGATGAAAACCACTGTGGAAACTCAGGTCAAAACCTCTGTGAAGATATTTATGCTCTGTTAGATTCCTCCACTATCAGTGAATGGTTTCATAAAAAGATAACCCCCAGTTATTAGCCCACAACATCACAAACCTGCTTTTAGTGAGCTGTTACCTGGCTCTGGCTGGGATGTGGTGCTGGCATGAAATGATCCTGAAGGGCTGCACGCTGTGAAATGGAAATGAAGTTAATGTACCCCGAAGACCTGGGAAAGAGCAGCGTTTTTACTCAGTGCTGCCATGGCCAAAGCAACCCCAGGGACTGGGGCACCTGTTGCTCATTGATGTTTTTAATGGAGTTTGAGCTCCTCTTTCCCTTGGGTTGCTTTGAAAGTCACAGTTAAAGGCTCTCCAAGTAAATGGAAATGCTTTTATGCCTTAAAGACTTCATCAGGCTGAAGTGTTTGAAATTTTGCTTGCTAAGCTGTTAAAAATGTTGGGTGAATATGTAAAAAGGTAGAAAAAAGCTAACACTAAATTTTTCTGTACTAAAACAAAGGAAGTTTTTTGGCCCACCAGGGGACACTTCCATGGCTGAGGTTGTACTTTGAGCCATAACACAAAAGGATCAAAACCAGTTTTCTCTGTCCAAGGCCTGCACTCATTTCTCATCACATCTAGTCCTTAAAACCTGCTTGAGCTGACTTTTGAATAGTGATAGACTGCACTTCTGGTTGGGACAAAGGAACATAAATCCAAGTGTCAGGCAGCTTAGAAGCCAGTGTGTCCTCATGATTGTTTAATGGAGTACAAAGGGAATTGCCTTCAAGCTAGTGAAATCTCATATCCACTCACCCATTGGTGATGCTTCACAAAAGAAGAGAATTGTTCTCTTATGAGTCTTGGCATAAAAATTTAATTAGCAGTTGAGCTCTTTGGGAAGATTAAAAAAAAGTTATTTCTTTTTTTACAGTCTCTTTCCTTTAACTGTTTACTTTCTATTTCTGTATTCTTCACAGAGACATCTGCTGCCTTCTGCAGCTATATTTTTTCTCCTTCACCAGTGATTCTGAAATTATTTTGCCCAGTTTCAGAAAACTTTTTTGTTTGTTTTCTGGGGTTTTTTTTGCATTATGTTGCACTAAATTTGAACACAGTTTTGGGAAGAAATTCTGAACACAAGTCAAAGTAATATATGAAAACCTAATCAGACTTAATATATAGTGGATACAAAACTGCTGCTGTTGCATAAAATAATAATAATTGCAGTCATTGATGGATTTGTTGAAATTACTCATTCCATATATGAGTACAGATGAGTATATATTAATCAAAAAATCAGTCCTCACCCAAATTCAGATCCTATTTATGTTATTTATTACATTTTCATCTCTTTAGCGTGAGTTATTTTGCTCTTAAAGGCATTAAATCTTATGACAGTATGTATCTGTAGTGTCCCAGTGTGTTTCCTGTGAGAACTGAATTTGATTTTTTAAAAATTCCTCAGATTGAAACAAAAATAATTTCAGCTTTCTTACATCATGAGGGGCAGAAAACAAAAGATCAAGAAGAGCCCCAAACCTTTAACTCTGGTGGCATTTGTTCATAATGCCTTAACATCAAATGTCTTAACATCAAATTAATTACATTTCTGATCCAATGTGACAAATTCTCCAGAAGTGCACTGGTGTGTTGTGATCACCTTGAAGCACAGATATTTGTATGTGGTTTGTTCTCTGCAATTACCAGAAATACTTCAAATAATAAACTTTAGGACTCTCTTAATTGAAATTGTAACCAAACCTGCTTGCATTATCTAGGAGTTGACCTTTATTTTTCTAGTTGAAAACTAGAAAATGAGTTTTTCATATGGGTGATATGGAGCTGTTCTTCTTTAGAAATGTTTCCTATTTTCATGTCTTGCACAAGCCATTGTCTTTTAAACTTCAAAAAGCTTTGTTTTCAGTTTGAAAACACTGAAACAAATTGTTTTGACAATTCTGAAGTTCACCTTCCTTGGGAGAGCAGGCTCAGACCCTGGGTTGGAGAAGCTGAGCACAACAGTAAATATTCCCCTTGCAAAACCAGACTCCTTAAGCTCCCAGAACAATCTTGTTGTCCATGTAGGCCAGTACAGGAAACAGAAATATTGTTAAAAGTGACAAGGCCGTGTTTGACCTTCTTTGGTCCTTAAATTTGGTTGTTTTCCTTTAGGAAAGTATCACTGGAGGAGTTCTGGGGACAGCCAAAGGTGATACAGAGACTCCATCATAGAAGGCATGAAAAGACACTTGATTATTAGAAATCTGCAGTTCTTATAGAAACAATGGTGGATTTAAGACCTGATTGGCCTTTAGGAATCTTCTCTCACACTCTTGGTGAATAGCACACTCTGGAGAACCATATCTATAAACAATGGTTACAGAAAGAGAGAGAATTTTTGTGTGAATTCTCTCCTCTGAAGTTTCCCACAGCTTCTACACAGCTTCCAGGATTTTCCTGGGAGAGCCATGTCTCTCTCTCTGTTCAGAGTGTATGAAATTATTACAGGCAAGAAGAGGTCAGGGAGTCTGAGTGTGCTCAGGTAAAGGGGTCAGAGAAGGGTTTGGGGTGGAAAAGACCTTTAAAGGTGCCCTAGTTCCTCTCCCTGCCATGGGCAGAGGCAGTGGCTTGCTGCTCTTGAGGAAATTGCTGACCCAGCTGGGTTTTTTGAGGTTTGTCTTCCCTGGGGAGAGCTGCATGTGTGAGTATGGTTTAATTTCACTCTGCTCTGCAAATTGCTTTGGGCTTTTTCTCTTTACAAAGTCACCTGATGTAAAACCTGGGTTTGGAGACGTTTGAAGCCCTTGGCTTTGGAAAACTTCCAGTAAATAAAGCTTTGGGCTGCTACACCTCTGAGTTCTGGCTCTGGTTTATCAGGTGAGACCAACCTGCAGAAAACTCCCTGTGTGCTCCCTCAGCACCCATCCCTTGAGCCCTGATAACCCAGACCTGAAATGAGCAGTGAAAAGCAAAAGCCAATCTTCCCAGGCTGTCTGATATTAATTCAAAGCCCAGAAAAGTTAAATAGCACTGAAGGGCTCTGTGGAAAAAGGAGTATGGTTTAAATGAAGTGAGATAATTTAGGCAGTCATGAGAAGCTTCTGAAACTTCCAGCTGCAGCTACAGATCCCAATTCTTGCTTTTTCTTTCAGTGCATGACAAAAGATACCCACAGAAATTACTATCTACAGAACAATGGGACCTCAACATTTTATTTTGATGCCCTTAATTGCAAAATAACATAATTACAGAATGATGAGGTTTTTTAGTGTGTTTGTTTGGGTGGATTGTTTTTGGTTTTCTGGATTTTTTTTGGTTTTCTGTTCTTTTGGGTTTTTTTGCTTTGTAAGAGGGCTAATAGACACAATAATGAAATTAAAACTTTTTTGGGAGATTGAACAATTTCAGCTAGACTTATATTCTTAAGCTTGACAGCCCATCCTGTTTTAGAGGTAAGTCTTAGAGATATTCCCTAAAGTTATCTCTTTTCTCTATCAGTGGAAGAAATTTTCTAGGCTGCTTCTTTCTTTTGCTTTGTGATCCTGCAAATGCAACTGTCGTGTTTCAAAGTCTGAATCTTGACATTTGAAAGGCATTTAATATTTTACATTTGTTACATAATTTTTTTAGGAATTATAAACAATAATTATAAAAGGCTGGCATACGTGGTTGTAAATTGATAATAAATGACTACATGATTTATTTAATCTCACAGTGTTATTTGCACACTTTTACCCAAAAAAAAAGAGAAAAAGTTATTCTCCACAGTAATGTTTATGGAACTTTTATAAAGTTGTAGACCAACTTCAAAGGTGTAGACTTTTAAAACCCATTTTCTGAAGGGTGTATTTATAAAATTTCTTACTAAAATGCAGTGAGGTGGGATGGCAGTATAGCAATTTATTAATAGGGATAATTCATGCATGCTATGTCATAGTCAAATTTGGGGGAAGAGCAGAACTCTTCTGGGGGTTTTTGGTCATCACTTCAAATTGTGAAAAATTTGTATCTTTCATTGTTTTTTTCAGTTTTACAGAATTTTTGGATCCATTCCAGCGAGTGATCCAGCCAGAGGAGATCTGGCTATACAAAAATCCCTTGGTGCAATCAGACAACATCCCCACACGGCTCATGTTTGTAAGTACCTAAGGGCATCTGATGGCTGCAGACTGAGTGAATGTTCCTTTGATAAGCAGCAGGAAATATTTCACAAGTAGAGGAAGTTCCTTTAAACCTAAAGTCAATTCTTTTCCAAGCCAGTGTTGTCCAAAATGTAGCAAATGATGGGAAGTCTTTAAAAAGCAGCGTTATGAGATGACTGAATTTATGAATGTTGATTTTTCAGTTTAGGATTCAGAGCAGTGTTAGCTGAGAGGGATGTGAGAGAAATGAGCAGAGAAGTTTTCTCAATTAGCTGGTTTGGTGACCTGACAAAACCTTGTCATGCTCTTAGAAGGTTAAGTGCTTAAATTTTGAGATCCAATTTGTTTTAGTCGTGTTAGGCACTGAGATACTGGACTCTGAATAATCTTTTTTTTTTTCCCCTAGAGGCAAAACCTTTGTTTCAGCTTCTTCCAACACTAAATAAATCACAGAGCTGCCCTGCTGTCACTACTCCTCTGGCTCTTCCCTGCTCAGCACATGCAGGCTGGACGGCTGAATTTGGTTATCAAACTTCATAATTTTGATAACCTTCACTAGCAATGATAAATAATCATGATAATCTCTATATATGACTGCAGTAAAACACACCAACTCAGAAATGCTGAAATTTTTGCTCTAGTTCAGGCTGTGAAAGTGGTAGTTCAGTCTTTCCAACAGCTGCCTCAAAGTCACCTTTTCCTGAGTCTTCAGTGAACCCAGGGTTTTACTTTTCAAACTTGAATTCAGATTAAATGCAAATCAGCTATATAATTTCTATTCAACTTTTTAAGAAATGCTTAATCCTTCATTTATAATAAAATTTTAATTAACTAACCGTTTAAAGGCACCTCCTGCATATCAGGCGACCATTTATCACAGCCTTCTAAGGCAGAGGCTGAAGGCCTGATTTTTAAATTTGCCTTTATAAACAAGAAACATTTTGTTTGTATTGCATTAAGAAGCAGCTCTATTTTGGACTTTTTAATCTTGGATGGAAGAAAACACATGTTTTTCCTGAAACAGAAGACAGCTGTGTCAAAAACCTAAAAACCAAAAATCAAACAGCAAACAAACAAAACAACCCCCAAGCCAAACATTAAATTGTTGTGCTGGGAAAGACTGAGTTTAATGGTGTGGCTTTTGCTCATGCTCAGCATTACTTTCCTACATGGTTCCTCTGATGTGTTTGTAACAGAGGAGTTCAAGAACCAAGAGTGATTCATTGCACAGGGTTTTGCTGCAGAGGGGAAATAGTTTTTGAAACCAGTTGGGGTAATCATTAATCCATCCTCTTATTCCCCAGGGGAATAAGGCACTGGGAAGCACAATTCTGGGATATAGTTATAATATATTCCCATAATAATATTCCCATAATAATATTCCCATTTAATATGTTCCCATAGCTCCAGATTTTGGCAAAGTTTTTGGTGGTGGAACTTTGAGGCAACTCTGTGTCAGTAGCATTTGTATGGTCTGTATTCTCTTTCTGGTTCAGATTTGAAACAATCAACAGCTTCTTAAATTAGGAAATATGGGTAATTTCTATATCTTTTTCTTATTTTTTTAAATTTAAAAGAAGAAAAATCCTACTCTAGCATTGCTCACAAGCTTTCATTAAGGAAAGAATTTGTTGCCACCACCGTACTCCCATATTGAAATTATGGCCATGGCTTATCAGAAAGTGATCTCTAAGACTTTATGATTTAATGGATTATTTTATTTGCTATGAGAGACTTGAATTCAATAGAAATGTTGTGAATGCACATCCAAATTAAACAAAGCTGATTTTTGCATGGGGGGCAAAATCTAGGAAGAGCTGAGCCTGGTTCTGTCTCTCTATCAAAGAGAGAGATTCCTTGTCTTGCAAAGTGCAGGTAGCAGCCAGCTTTCCCTTGGAAAAGTGGAATTGTGTCCCTGTAACTTCAGCATTGCCAGGATGAATAATAAATGACAGAGATTTTGCCCATGTTTCACAAAAGCCTGGCAAAGCTGGAATATTTCACTGCTGGGAAAGGAAACATAGCTGAGATGTATCTGAGGAGAGTATTGCTCATTAGAATGTTGCCAAATCTGTTTTAGATATGAGCCACAGAGAAACTTCTTTGCAAAATAAATAAAAGGGGTCTGTCACAAGCCAAAATTTCTTTGTGTGTGCATTTTGCTGCAGAATAAAGAGCACCTTCCAGCTAATGCTTTTGTGTAAGGAGCGGCAATACACCATGAACATGAATAGTTCATCTCCCTAAAAAATTCAATTCACATGCTTGTAAAATATGAGGAAATCTGCAGTTTTACCAGGTTTCTGAAGATGGATGGGGAAGTGGTTTGGAGCAAGCTGCCACTTGAATGCTATTCTTTGTTGATAATTTCTGATGCTCCTGTTTGTTCAAAAGATTTCTGACTCCATTAAACCACCACTATGAGCCTGTCAGCCTTGGCTTATTTCTATATGTTCTTCAGTCTGGAATGCAGATATTTTTCATAATTTCTTTTCCTGGTGGCAACCCTTATTTTTAAGAATGAACCTACAAATTCTAGGATTTGCTTCAATTTTTTTTTTTAATTTCACACTGTGTCTGAAAGCAGAAATTAAATTGTTGATGAAGACAGAAGTGAGTATTTCTGGAGCAGTAATGTGGCATTGGCATCCAAACTTGAATTTCACACATACTTAGACAGGGGGAGATTTTAAGTGGAAGTGACTCCTCTTTTTGCACAAATTCTGGTGCCTGCCTTCCTAAATGTAGAAAAGGGGAACAGACTCCAGCCTTTGTTTTAATCTGCATGGTTCACTGAGTTAGTATTTTGGAGATGCAGGAAGGACAATCTGGTGCAAGATGCACAGCCAAAATTACAAACATAGCCTACTCTCGTGTTGTTTCCTACTCAAATTGTCTAAAATCATAAAGTGAGGACTGGGATTAATCTGTGGCATAAAAAGAAGATTGAGTCACGTGTCTTTTGCCATAATATATCTGTCTGGTCTGGTTTTTCTGTCACTGGGACTATTTAAGAGTAAGGCCCAATTCAGCTTCAGTAAAGAGAGCATAATCTTACTTAAGACTTGGCACCCCTTGTGCCAAAATTAAGCTTAAACAAGCTTAATTTTTGCCTTGTTAAAACAAACAAACAAACCCAAACCTCAACCAGTAATATTCACTTTTTTTAAAGAGAATAAAATGTGTGCACTGAGGCACAGATGCCATTTCAGGTTCCTGGTAGGAGGATTCCTGTCCTTCAGCACTGACAATTACAGGATATTCTGTTTAACCAGTGACTAAACCTGTAGATTCTCAGATGTTGTTTTTCTGAGTTTGAACAAAATAAAGCAGTTTGCTCCACATCTGAACATTTGTAAACAAAAGAATCATAAAGACACAATCTTCCCAATGCATTCAAGCATGACAGTTGAAAAGAAAACAAAAAGAAAGATAAAGAGAATTTTAAAATTCCAAGAGGTTGGTGCTGCTGTCTGTTGTTTTGAGTAGGGGCTTACTGAGCCCAGGTGGGTAGGCTGCCTTCCTCAGCAATGCACCCTGAGGAAAAAATGTCCAAAATCTGTATTTTGGTATTTGTGGACCTTATGGACTGTTAATTTTTCATTGGAGGAGCTGACATTTTAAATGCATCTCTGGGCAATTACAAATCAATTATAGCTGAGGGCTATATTGGAATATTAATGTGCTCCTCACCCTGGAGTTGCAAAGACAAATCATCCCACTTTGCTTAAGGTCAGGAGTTTGATAAAGATCATTCAGTTTAAATGGAGCTGGCTGCAGCTAATTATTAATCAGTGGGGCAGAGAAGGAATTGATGCTCTCACTCATGGTGTTTGTTATCTCTCACAGGCAATTTCCTTCCTCACGCCGCTCGCAGTCATTTTTGTGGTGAAAATAATCCGTCGAACAGACAAGACCGAAATTAAAGAGGCTTTTTTAGGTAATGTATGTCATTCTTCAAGGTGGAAAAGTGTCTGATGGCTCTCAGAGATTGATTCCAAGTGTAGTCCAAGCCTTGAAGAAAACCTGTCTCCATTACAGCCCATTATAGTAATTTTCAGTGCAGTTCCAGGGCATCTCACAGAAGCCTTTGGGTTTATGTGAGTTTATAGATGTACAAATTCTGTGCCTTAATTCCACAATTTAGCCAGCAAGGACTGGAATTTGATCAGCAAAGACAGGTCCATCTAAGAGACTGCTCAAATGTATATTTTTTCTGTCACACCCAATCTATTACTTACCTCTTACTTGCAGCTATTCTAAATCAAGGCTTTGACTGGAAAGTCCTGTGCAGCTCAGCTGTTTAGTGTAGAAAATTACTCCTCTCATTGTTTTCTCTGATCTTCTCCTGCAATTTACTGTTAACCATTGCAGAATCCATGCTCTTGGCTCAGTTTTTCTAATTAGAAGCTGTTGTTTCATCCTTAACTGCCAGTGGAATTAGCTGTGCACTTAATCCTGGACTGTGAGCAGTAGTGGCTGTGCTATGGGTTAGGTCTAATTACAGCTGTAGGCAGGAAATTGGAGCAGAGCACAATGAAAAGGGTAAGTTTTAAGTTGTTCCAGCTAATTCTGGCTGTGCCTATCTCTTGAAATCTTACAGTGGTATGTGCTTAGATCCTTTTTATATATATAAATATTGCCAGAGACCAATATTGATTCAAGCACTTTCACTGGCAAGGGATATCTTGAAGCATAAGAATTGCAAATGTTTTTGTTTGCCTTATGTTTGAAATGTTCATAATTCTGAAGTTCTGTTTTACTGGCTAATTTGCACTTTATTTATTGCCCCTTACATGGTAAAATTAGAGCAATACTCAGCCTTGCTTTAACTAGGTAGGATGTAAATGGCACTGTGTAATTGGAAAAAAAATTTTTAGACAAGGCTTAATTTCCATAGATTATTCTTTCTCTAGTTACTCTCACAAGTGTGAAATGATCCTAGGTTTGTTTTGACTGCTGCCAGTCATTTGTTGTAAGTTCTGAAATGTCTTAGAGTGATGTTTCCCTGACAAGTCCATTCAATGGAAATAACTCCTCGTTCACGAAACACACACAGTCAGTTCTGAACCTCCCTTCCTGTTGTGTAAGCAGGAGAGGAGCTTAGGCTCAGTTTCTCCATCACTTACTTTCAGCTTTTTCTTCTAAGAAGACTTTATTTATTTTTTCCTGCTATTTTTTCTTCTGTTATTCCCTCTATAACATCTAGAAGAAAAGTTGCCGGCTTCCCCAGCATTCCCCTTGCTGCCCAGACTAAGGAAACACTAACCCTGATGTTCTGTTCAGTTTGTGTCATAAGTGTGGAACTTCTTGTGGCTTATTTGCCACTTATTTACCAGTTCAGGTGCACTGTTCTCTAATAAAGTTCAGTATCTGGTGATGTGAAGGTTCATTAGGGGTGGTGAGCCTCTGGTTTGCTGAGATCTGGCACAGAATGTCCATAAGGAATGATCAGGGAGTCCCCCAAAAGGTGGATTTCTTTAAGCATGATGCATGGAGGGGAGAAAAAGTGAAAAAGAGATGAAAATTCTTTGCCCCTCATATAGCCATTAATAGAGAGGAAGGGATTCAATGCACCTGGAGTAAGGAGGAGTTAATTTAGGTGTCCTTAAGCCTTCCCCTGGGAGTTCTAAATCTCTCACTGACTGGATTATATGACTTTAGATGGGCAATAGGGATCTTTCTTAAAGGAAACAACAGCAGAACAAATAGATTTATTTTGTTTTACCATCCTACATTCATACTCTCACTTGATGCTTGGCTTGCCAGTGTAAGGAATGTGCAACAGTGAAGGCACAGCTCAGTAGGTGTACAAGGAATAATCAAGACAAAACTCAACAAAAAAACACTGAATTTTACTGCCTGTCTTCAAAAGCAGACATGTTTTTTAAGAAGGGCAGTGAAATGCTGTGGCATTGCTGGTCATCTGCATTTGACTTTATGGAAAATTTTCCCATGCAATTTCCATAAAAAACTGAGACAAAACAATGGAGGGGGAAAACAGAGCATGGGATTGAGTGGTCACTGTGAACACAGGTGTTGAAAGAAGAGTTTATTTAACAGCATGGGTGTCTGTAGGATTGACTTGTTCTTTCATTTTTCCTGGCAGCTATTGTTGCATTCTGAGAAAACCCTTATTTTTGCTTTGATGAAGGTCCCACTTTTTTCTTTTTTTTGACTTTAAAAAAACATAACACTATAACATATTTTTATGATCTGTAATATCCTCAGGCAAAGGTTTTATGGAGACAGGATGAGTGCTGCTGAAGTGCAGCATCTGGGGCAGCAGCCCAAGGAGAAAATAGCTCAGTGGCTGTCATAATCAAAGCTATATTACTGTAAATGTTCTGCTGGAAATCGGACATTTGCCTGATAATTTTTTTTTCTGATGGGAAATAAAATTCATTGGCTCCTGGTTTGCAACAGGGAGCTACAGTGTGGACTGCAAAATTAAATCATTTTTAATGTAAAATGTGTGTATGTGCAGGATCCAAGTGCCAGTGAAATCAAGGCAAAGATCTCCACAGGCTTGAGATGAGGTTCTTTGGGAAGTCTGGGGACTTGGCATGCAAGCACAAATAGAAGAGATGATTAATTCTCACCTAGTAGGACAGTTCCTTCTTGTTCTCCAATTTTATCAGAAGAAAATTGTTAATCATGGGAGCAAACATGAGGGAAAACCACTGAAATATTTAATCAAAACATCCAAATCCTTTTGAAAGAGAAATAAAGTCATCCAATTGTAATTTTGGCCAAAAGCAATGCTTTAGCCTGGAAGTGTTTAATTGCATCTCTCTCTCTCTCTCTCACACACACACACACACACACACACATATATATATATATATATATTTGTGTGTGTAGATGTATCTATATATCTTGTGTATTGCTCTATACAGGGATTCTGCTTGACATAAAGAGCATGAGAGTTTAATCTGGTAAATTACAAAACTCAAAAATTCCAAACCACAGTACTTAATTAAGTAATTAAAAAAATTATTTATATATATTATATAAAATTTTCATATTATTATATATAATATATTATTGTATATTATATAAAATTTTCTAAATCTTATATTATATAAAATAATTTTAAAAATAAGTAATTTTTTCCCATTTATTGACTTATGCCTGTGCAAATGGCATGGTAGGAAAACTGGCTTTGTGTAAGGAAATAAGAACAAAGTAAGTAATGATTGTTACAGTGCTCTGAGGTCCTTAGTCTGGGTAACAAGAAAAACAAGCAGTAAGCTGAAAAAAAGATCATTTAGTTTTCAGCCCAGTAATGGTTTAAGTCTGTAAATCAAATGCTGTAATGCTGCAGTTTATTGCTTGGTACTTAGGTTATTATTGTTCTCTTTGTTCATTGTGTTTTGTAGCTGTTTCCTTGGCTCTAGCCCTGAATGGTGTCTGCACAAATACTATTAAATTAATAGTGGGAAGGTAAGTCTGTCATGTTCTAAATGATGGGTTTCACTTGAGAGGAGTGGAGACAGACTGACAGCTGCAGCAAATCCCAATGAATACAGAGCTGCTGCTCCAGAGCACGTGGAGTCAGAGGGGCCCTGTGGGGCTGTCCTTGGCCTGGACAATTGTACAGGTGTTGTACAACTTCATTAGGTGACACCCCACTGTGGCAGGAATCCACGGCCGTGTTCTGCTGCTGGTTTGGCTGGCTGGCAGACCCAGACAAGAGAGGGCTTTGGGAGGAGTGGTGGGAGCTGAAATCAGCTCATTAAATTGGCAGCATGGGAGAGGAGAGCCACAGCATGTGGGAGCTCAGATGCCAGTGCCCCTTGTCTGGTTAAATAGGAATCAGTTCATTTTGTGAGAAGCAGATTCTGTGTCCAGTTGACATCAACATGCACAGCAAAACAAACCTGGCAGTTGGGCAGTAAATTGATTCCTTAGTAGAACATTTCTTTAGGGAAGCATTATTTTGAATGAAGGGCTTAGAAAATATGTTTTAGATAATTTTTGTCTCTTTACCAAAATTTTTAATAATTTCAGCTGAAAAATACACTTTGACTTGAGTTCATACACTGCCAACAGAGTCCAGTGCTGATTTGTTGCTGGGATGTTTTGCAGCATTGAGGAAGCAATATTTGTGTTTGGTTTCTGGTGAGCCCTCTCTGCTGCAGAGCTGGTGCCCTGACAGTAATGGCACTTGGCACTTTTATTTGATGGGTGCTTTTAAAATAATTAAGAATACACCCACTTCTTTAGACAGGAATAAGCTCATTTATCCTGCACTCCAAGCCAAGTCTTTTGCTGTCAGCTTGTCTCTGAATCTGTGATTATTCACTTTTCTTCTCCACATGGTTTATTGGCTCAGGATCAGTATGACACCAGCCTAACCTACAGGCCCAGCTCACAGCAGGGTCAGGAGAAGCTGGGAGGTTTCCTCAATGCACTGAGACATCATCAGGGCTGGTTTGGATTTTGGTGGCTGATTTTTGGATGTTCTGAGCTGGGTGTTTCAGCAAAACCTGTGAAAATTTGAGAGTCATTACACTTTGTGCAAAACTGATCACTCTAGGCAAGAGTAGCCTGCATGTGTGTGATAAGCAGTAAATGTAATAATCACTGTGAGGTTTATTTGGTACTACAGCTTTTTTTTGTATTTTTAATATCCATGGTGTTTTTTGTAGACCGCGTCCCGATTTCTTTTACCGCTGCTTTCCAGATGGAGTAATGAACTCTGAAATGCACTGCACAGGTGATCCAGACCTGGTCTCTGAAGGCAGAAAAAGCTTTCCAAGCATCCACTCTTCCTGTAAGTTCACTTGAACACAGTGCCTCTTTTGTAAAAAGCTGTCCTTTCTGTGCTTTGGGGTTGGTCTTTTTCTTCTGGATCGTGAACTTGATTTTTGCTGGAGGAGTCTGAATTTCTGACTTACAGAAAGTCAGAAATTTCCTTCTGGAAATAAAATTGTGAGTCTGTGAATCGTCCTCATCTTGAGAACCACCTGAGATTATTCAGATCACAGCAGGACTGTCAGCAGAGTGAAGGATATTCAAGGTTCCAGAACACTGTGATTCTGAGGGGCATCTGTTCCCCAGTGCAGACCTCTGTCTGTATAGTAAATATTTATTTTGTTATATTCCAGTGAAGTAGCACAGTACAGTCACTCTTCTTTTGGCTTTGAGGTGGTCCTCAATCTTGGTCTCATGGTTTGATCAGGTACCCCCAGTTTGTGCTGCATCCTGCCCGTGTTTAGGTGGCTTTTTGAGAGTTAATCTACCTGATTTAATTAGTTTTACTAACTTAGGTGTTTGTAAAGGTTCCTTTCTCTCTTTTGAGAAGATGAGTTCTAGTATGTTTTATGCCATATCTGACAAAACTTCTTTTCATCTGTAAAATAGCCTGATTACTGTAAGCTTCTTTGGGTTTTTTTATTTGGCCAGTAATGTTTTTTACTTTCAGTTGTTCTAAGAGCTGCCAATTGAGAACCACTAAGTTGTATCTATGGAATTTTTTTGCAAGTGGTAACTTCAAATTGCCTAATTGTACAGAAGTATATATTGCAAACAACTTGGGTGATGAGATGAATGAAATTGTCAGCTGATTTTTCTCCTTCTTTCTTGTTTGAGTCAAATAAATAAGAGAGTATTAGATGTTTGTGGCTGTGTTATAAACTTTAGTTCCAAGCCAGCGGGGCAGCCACAGGAGGAGTCCTGGGGTTTTCCTCTTACCTGGCACTGGTTGTATAAGCTCTGAGTTATGTTGCTGAAGCTCACACCTAATTTATTGAAGCAGAATGATGTCCCAGAGTATTTAGATCAAAATTATGAGAGCAGCTTTCTCCATCACTGACATAAGATTAGTGTGGCTGAGTTGAGTGCATTTCCCACCACAAAGCCTTTTATTAAAATGCAATAAGAATGAAGAGATATTATATATTCAGTAATTTTTATCACTTGGTAAGTGTATGTTAGAGTTTAGAGGCAATTCTGCAGCTGCTTGAACTACTTAGCTGTTTGAAGCCTGATGTTATAATATCTAAGCCTCTGACAAGCTTTAAAAATCCATACATGTTTTACTCTCATAATGGAGAAGAAAAGCATTTAATTTGACAATCATACAATGCTAACCCTTCTTCTCTGCAGCAAAATTATTTCCGTAACCAAAATTGTCAGTTTTATCAAGAACAGTTTATAGTTATGATCACAAGTTTAGTTTTCGCTATTACTTCATTCCCAGTGGTATAAAGAATGGAAACCAAAAAAGTATTATGGGAAACACACCATTATTCTGCTCTCCTACACCTTTGAAGCAATGAGGATGTTTGGGATATAATAATTCATGTTTGCAAATTGTGATGTAGTTTTCCATTTTCTTAGCTCAAAGAAAACTCTTAGCTTTTCCTGTCTTCTTAACATGTGGCTATTTATGAACTTTCCTTCCATAATCTCAGTCCAACATTTTTCCTTGGCACCTTTCTCCCTTCCTTCAGCACAAGATTGTTACGAGGTAAAGTGAAGCAATTCCTCTCTTCAGATTTCTGTCATTCTTCACTGTTTGTTGTGAAATTCATGGAACAGCACCAAAAAGGGTTGTTTGTTTGTTATTTTTGTTTCTGTTAGTGTTTGGGGGATTGCTTTTTCTGTTTCATAACTGCAGAAATGTAAGTGGTGAGGATGAGGGTTGACATAAACTATAGTACCTCTCTTGGTATGATGGTTTTAAGTAGCCCACTACAGTTTGGTATTTCCTACTTCACTTGAACCCGTAGAGAAAATAAATCACAAGTAAAAGCTGCCAGGCAGCTCATAAAGAGGGGTTAGAAGCTTCAGTCAAGAGCCATTCTCATCTTCAAAACAGTTTTTCTTAAGGCATTTCTAGGATAGGCTGTCAATCACAAGCTTTGTTATACCAGGATCTAAAACTTCATCCATGCAAGACGAGGCCTTGAATGAGAAAATCTGTGGTGCTGTAAATGGGGAGCTGTGAGAGGGTAAAATGCAGGGATGTGTATCAAGAATGACAGCCCTGGCACTCCCAGATGGCCTGGCCTGACCTTGCTTACTCCATAAAAATGTTGTGGACAGCCTGTTGCCACTCTCAGAGCCAACTTGTGTCCTGAAGGAGAGTTCTTCTTTCTTGGAGCACTGATGATTTCCTTGGCTTCACTTCCCTGGGCCAAGGAGAGCATGGCATAAAAGAAGAAAAATGTGTGGAGCACAGAAAGGGACTTGCACATTCCACTGGATCAAAGAAATCTCTGGATCTTTTGGATTGTTTGGAGCCCATTTTGCTTCTTTTCCATTGTGCTGCCACTCTTGTGAGAGGGGATGGACCTTTGGCTCCATTTCTGCCTGTGTCCAATAGCTCAGAGGTGCTCCTGAGTGGCACAAATGTTGCTATTCTGACACCCAAAATATCTCTGAAATATACAGTTTTTTATTCCATATTTAACATTTCCATGGTTTTATAATCCATTGGCAGTTTAATGCTTATTTAAAGCCAGCACCTGTGATGGAGCCATGCAGCCTCTCTGTGTCCATACTTCATCAAAACAGTGATGTTTAAAGATCATAAATGCAGCATTTTTTCCTGCCTGTGTCCTGCCTGTGTGCCTTCTGAAGAGTTTTCTTGCAGAGAACCTTTGGGCAGCCTGCCCTGGAGAGGCCTCATGGCATCCCCACCTCTCCAGATGTTTTTTCCCTCATTGCAACAAGATGGAAACAGCAGCAGCAAGCTACAGATGAAAAATGAACAACCAAATGGATGGACATACAGACAGAATGATTGAGTGTATTGAATGAAACAAAGAGAACAAATGGTGCAGAAATCAGCAGAAAACCTTTTATTGGCAATGATTACCCAGCATGCCAGCTGATGAAAAATGTGAAGTATGGATAAAGAGAATTTAACTGAATGCAACACGTGCAAGAGGAAAATTAAGGTGAATGAACACAGAACAATTAATTGGACAAGCCATGTGCACAACTGGGAGCTGAAAAGATCACTGAATTTGTAGGCATGCATTGTACTAATGGGATGGATAGACATCTTTTTGTAATTGATTTCTTCCTTTTCATCTAATGCCTGATGTCATTTTGACATTTGTGTCAGGTTGACAAAATCCCTCCACAAACAAAATAGGAACTTACGAGTCCTGGAGTGTTATTTATCTGAAAATCAATTTACAATGCTTGTAAATCCAGGTTTGTATCCAGTGGAGCAATTCCGGGTAGGCTGAATAGGCAGTAATTAAAAATGGAAAAGAAATTAGTAGGGTTCATTTAATTAACAGTTCTTTGTTACTTTGAGTAGCTTTATACATTTGCCAGCTCAAGGAAGATTTCAGAATGTGTCAGTCTTTGTACAGGCTGCAAGAAGTGAACATTTCATTGGTACTTGTGTGGACAGGGAGGTCTGAGTCTATTTTGGTGACAAAATTTAGAATTTGTACTATTACCATGGGGTCATGAGAGACAATGCCACATTTCTAAATCCTGTGTTAGTCTTAAATTGCAGTTAGCTATAATTTGTTATAATTGCTATAATTGGGTAAATTTCTTTGTTTGGAGAATATATCTTAATTTTTTCAGGGAACATGTTCAGCCTGGAAGCCACCAGGGCTTTTTCATGCTCAAGGAAGGCTGATTCTGCTTGACCACATGTCAAGAACATGTTTAATTAAGGTGACAGGAATTCTGAGCCTGTTTTCCATATGAGAGCTCACATTTCTGAAAGCATCTAGGGTTCATGAGCTGCAGCTTAAAAATTGCTGCAATGCCCTGGGACCTCTAAAGAGTTCTCAGAGGAGAGCAGAAGAATATGAGCAGTAAATTTCCTATGATGTTGCCACGTCACCAGTTGGGTATTTGGAAGGAGGGGGGAAATAAAGGGGTAAATTCTCTTTTCACCTTATAGCCTGGTAATGGCACAAATATAAACTGTGCCATTACCAGGCTATAAAGTTTCCCCAAATTTTATGAGTTGGGTTTTGTCCATCTCTTTTTCCAGTTGCTGTCTGAAATGAATTTTGGTTTAAAATATGAATCCAGATCATCTTTCCAAGTTTTGGATACAGAGCTCTAAATCAAAGGAATAAAGAACTGATCCATTGCATTCTAACTGAATCCTTGACCCAGATTTCACCTGTAAAAATGAGGACAGGCCACCAGCAGCAAACAAAAGTGCTGCAAAAGTAGTATGTGTTTATGTTAAAGTGGATAATAAATGAGTCTTGATTTATTGCCAAAACCAGGACAACTTCATGGCTGCGTCTGAAATGTTTATGTTCATGTGTTGCTTATCAGAACAGTAAGCAGCAAATCAGCATCCCAGGCTGGTTTCAAATATTGTTCAGTAAAATGGGCTGTTTAGCTTAAAAGAAAAAATTAAATCCTAGACAGGGAGATGTCCCATATGCTGCTGTGATTGTAGCAATGGAGTCCTTGTACAAGCAAATATGGGTAAATAATAGTCACACAACACAATTTATTTAGAAACACCAAAAATCCTCTGTGAATTTAAAGCCAGATTCTTGACCCTGTTTGCTTTCTTAGAGGAAGTGATTAATTCTTCATGATATAACTCCCTTTAGGCTCTTATTCTGCTCACAACATTTGCAAGCAAATTGCAGTTGCCAGTTTTGGCTTCAGCTTTACTTAGTGACTATTTTTAAATGTGTTATTTCTGAATTGGCCAGAACTATTGAAGCTGTGTTTTTCAGCTGAGGAATTAGATTAGAGGAAGGTGCATGAAACTGGTTTTGGTACCTTTGTAGTGAAGCAAAAATAGTGGCTTGGTGAGAGGTTAAT